CGTTTTTGTGCTTCCTTGGTAATTCAAAAGCCTAAAGAATATATTCAATCTGAAGTTTTCTCGTTGACCCAGTAGATATTATGTGATGGTAACTGTGAAATGGGATGATGAGCCTATCTGTTGGAACCAGCATCTTTCTATCCAGTTTTCTATGGATTATATGTTACCCCTGGAAAACCGGAAAAGTTGTAATGATTCTTTTTGGTGACTTCTTGCAAGTGGCAACATTAACTATATTGTAAATGGGAAGCCCACTTGAATTTTGGTGCTCTTGAATCTACTTTATCAAGATCCAAATGGACCTGTGAAGTTTGAACCATCTTTTCATGAAAGAAAAAACATCTGACTTGTGAAACATCTTTCGAAAAAGTGAAGACATGGACTTGTGAACCTACTTAGTCCACTACGCTGAAGTCTCAATTATTAATCTTCTAGAACCTCCTTCCCAAACAAAATATGGCTTGCAACTTGACATAAGCAATGTTATGTGATATGTTGCTATACAGAGCAATCCTTAGTATGCCTTTGATAGTAGCAGAAGTATAGCTGATCCTTGGAGATGCATCCTTATTTCTCTTACTATGCTAGCTTCGTTGTTGGTGAAGGGAGAAAATGTTCATTGTCTGGAAGTTTAGGAAAGGTCTGGGTTAGGCACCACGGATTTAGTTTAGGGAAGTTTCAACCTCTCAGGGTTGTGGAAGAGATACATGAAGTCACATTTTTATACTGGCAGAAGTATAGCTCATGCAGGGTTCCAGAACCGGCTGTGGTTGGTCTTCTCCTTTTTTGGGCTTGGTGGTCCCATGGCCAGTTTATCCAAACCGCTTCCTTTTAAATCAATGTGTGGCTTCTGCACATACACACTTCTAATTGCTTCAAGTAGTATACACCAGTAGTTAAAATTGTGAACATAAAAACCGAAAAAAAAATGTTCACAAGTCAAAATAATTGAGACTTCAGCCTAGTGGACTAGGGGTACATCACCCGCAAAAAAATAAATAAATTGTGAACATAAAAACCCTTCTTTTGCGCTTGCACAGATGGTTCTCGAAGAGAAAACTGAACTATTGGGGCCTATGCCGGTCTCCTAAACCAGCTGATATCATTTGGATTTTGTCACCCTCGTTTTGGCATACCCTTGTTGAGAAGGGAAGTAGAACATGGGGCTAATGTATAGAGTGGTGAACAGCAGGATGGAAGGGGGCATCATTGTCAAGCAGCGAGTGTAGCAAAAGAGGGAGAAAATATCTTTAAATGTGGTAGAAGTCGACTGTGGTCCATGATATCTTACATGAAGGTCCTACTAAAAGATGTTTAAATTGTTGATTCTGAGTCAAAATAGTCAGAATTTGCATTCTCCTAGTTGTGGGTAGGGGTATATGCAGAGTATCGTGCATCATCGGAAAACATTTTTTTCCTTTTCCTTTTCTTTGAAAAGGATGCTGAAACCCCCGTAAAACATAAACACCATGTATATTGACACGTAAATTTAACACTTCCGGATGAGTAGTGACCCCACACCGCATGAGTCCTGGATTTACCTCCGAAATATTAAAACTAAGTATCAAATGGTAGAGAAACCCAGAATTCAAGATGCAAAATCTGCGGGCATATAGATCATTTCCTTTTTCTTATTACTCCGCTGTTTGGTGATCACAAATTGATATATGGGGTGACCAACAAACTTGTAAATTAGTGAAGTTGTTGATTAATGATAACTTAGGTCTCCAGAGGTTTTGTTGTTCACAAGAATAATGGTATGCTCTCTGCACATGGAAAGGGTGAAGTATTTTTCTTCTGCTATAGAATAGCTCCATTGATGACAAGGACATGCCATCATGACAAAATTATGAAGTCATGGCTGCACTATGACGATTCTGATTGCTTTGTTTGTTTTGTTACACTCCTGTGCAGCTGCTGATGTACTGTTATGGAAGGACAAGAAAACAACTGCTGTAGTGATCGGTGGCACAACTGTCATATGGGTTTTATTTGAAGTGCTTGATTACCATCTCTTAACTCTGCTATCCCATGTGATGATTGGTGTCCTGGCCATCTTGTTCGTGTGGTCGAAAGCTATGACCTTCATCAAGAAGTAAGTGATATATATTGTGATCTTCCACATATGTTCTGGTTGGCACTGCTTCCGTGTTTCATCGAGTGTTACTTTTCCAGGAGTCCGCCAGATATTCCTGTAGTCGAGATACCTGAAGACCTCGCTGTGAATGTATCACGGGCACTACGCAGCGATGTCAACAGATCACTTCACTTGTTGCGCGAGATTGCAATGGGGCATGATCTGAAGAAATTCCTTGGTGTACGTTTTCTGCCATCAAAACTACACACAATGGTTTTGAAGCGTTCAGCTTTTTTGCTTGAGGATACCTAATAGTAACTCTTGCGTTTCCAGGTGATTGCTGGTCTCTGGGTTCTGTCAGAAGTTGGAAGCTGCTGTGATTTCCTCACCTTGATATATATTGGTAATGTATTTTCTATTTATGTACCCTGCATGTTATAAGCTATGGAGCTGATAAAGTTGAGATCCAAACAGCTGTCCTGATGATCCACACGGTGCCGATCTTGTACGACAAGTACCAGGACAAGGTGGATCACTTCGCCGGAAAGGCCCATACCGAGGCGTGCAAGCACTACGAGGTGCTGGACCAGAAGGTTCTGAGCAAGATACCCCGAGGACCGGCGAAAACCAAGAAGACCTAGAATGCTGGGTGTCTCGTGAGTGCATGCTGGGTCGCTTGTGGTTCCGTGATCATATGCGTAATGCGACGAGACGTCACTCGTCTTACGGTCTTGCCTTCTGCTCAGCATTGTATTAGCTATTTGTATATGCAACTCTGAAAACTTCGAACTGCTACCTTTCTACTATCGCAGTCGCTTGTAGATACCTGTCCTGTTACTTGTGTGTACGTGCGGCAGATGTGTTCTCGTGTGGATGTTCTTAGTGAAAACCTGAATGGATGTTCTTGAAAGAAAATAACCTGCTGAATACTACTGGACTATTAATTCACTACCTTGCTGTGATTGTTTGTGCAAACTGGATGAAACGAGTCTGACCCGAAAGGCAACAAGATTCGGTGGTCTCCTTGGTATGGCCCCCCGAAAGGTTCTTGACGTTTTCTTAAGATGTTTTTGTTGGTGATGTTGGCGGGCCTCTCTCGCGCGGATGCGTCAAAGGGACCGGCCCTGGACTGCGCGCTAGGTCAGGATGGGCGCCGGGGTGGCGGCCCGGGTTCTCTCTGTGGTGGTGACCGTTGCGGTGGCCGCGTGGGCGGCACCTCGCGACTCCGGCGCCGGCGGCTGGAGCACCCCGACTACCTCGCCGGCGACCTTCTCCAGCGGGACGGCGGCTCGTGCAGCTGTTTGGCGGGCCGCTTTGTCTGGTCCTGGTGGTTGTTGCGTCGGTGGCAGCCCGTGCTCATCGCTTGGTGGTTGTGGTCTGGTGGTTTGCGTCGCGTTGGCTGCGGTTCTTCGTGGATGGTTCGACTCGGGAAAGCTGCCACATCCGGCCGGTTCGGCTCGCTGGTTCTGGTCCGCGCCAAGATTTGTGGTGGCTTCTGCTTGGTCACGACGCGATGGCTTCGTGAAAGGTGTGCGGGCTACGGGAAGTGCAGTGCGTGGGGTTGTGGTGTTGGGTGGTGCTCCAGACAAAAGCTTGTTGGGCTCTTACCGGGCGACGGCGTCGGCATCCGTGGACGTCGTCTCACCTTGGAGGCGCCGCCAAGGAGTTCTTTTCTTGCACATCCTCGAATCTAGTTCTTCGGGTGAAAGTCTAAGACCCGACTTGGTCGGGCAACAACGTCTTGCATCGTCGCTGCCCTCTTTGGGGCATCGTCTTGAAGATCTTTGTATCCCGTTTGCGCGCTCCATGTGCTGGACACTCACGATATTGCTATCGGTAGGTGCTCGTCTGACGATGTGGATGCTTTGCACGGCTTCTTGTGTGGCAATGATGGAGGCTTCGAGCGGAGTCGGGTTTGCAGCTGTGTTCTGGTAGTCGGTCTCATCCCGCGTGTTTGAGGGGTCGTTGTGTCTCGCTTGTCTTTTGAAGTCGGAGCTGCTGAGGAGGAGCCTTGCGATGACGATGGCCCAGTGCTTTTTCTCCTGCAATGCTCGTCAATAGTCGGAGTCGCTTGGTCGCCGACGCGTGGTAGTCGGTCTCATCCCGCGTGTTTGAGAGGCCGTTGTGTCTCGCTTGTCTTTTGAAGTCGGAGCTGCCGAGGGGGAGCCTTGCGATGACGATGGCTCTATGCTTTTTCTCCTGCAATGCTCGTCGATAGAGTCGGAGCCGCCTGGTCGCCGGCGTGTGCGGTGGACTGTTTGGCATTGGCTGGCGCATGCCTCTGTGCTTGTCTGTGATAGAGGCTACATTGGTGGTCGTCGATGGTGGAGTCAGAGTCGCCCTCATGGAGTTGTGATGACAATGACACCGGATTGCAATCTCGACGACGCTCTTCTCCTCGACGGCATGTGTACGTTCTTGTGTGGGTTGCCAGGTCATCCTGTATGCCTTATTTTTACGAGCATGTTGTGACGATTTTTGCTCGTTTTTTGTTAATTAATTGGGCAATTTTCTTCGACCTTTTTTTAATAAATCGGACCCTGAAGACCACGTTTAAAAAAAGAAAGAGAGAACACGGACAACAGACGCCAACGTTGTTTGTTTTTGAGGACCAAGTATATGGAAGTTGTCTGCTAATAAATCGATTTGTGAGCCGTCCGATTTAAAATCTGAGGCTGATGTGCTTTCTTGTTTCTACATTCTGACCTCTTTTCGTTCGTCCCACCGGCGCCGGCCACCTGCTGTCGCCATCCGCGGCTGCGCTCTCGCACACACCTCGCTCTTCTCGCCGCCACCGCCGATCTGTTGCGCGTCGTCTTCCACTCTGGGTCACTCCCCGTTTGGCTTCACCGATGTCGCCGCGGCGCATCCGTCTAGGTCTCGCCGCTTCGCCTAAAATTGGTTAACACAAATTCGTTTTTTAGGCAACTTACAAATAGCTATGCATTGTTTTTATGCATGCTTTATTTTACGGATTGTTTTTATGCATGCTGGTTTAATTACTCACTGGAAATGTTGGCTAGAAATAGGCTAGCCCACACTGGATAACTGTACGTGTTTGTTAAGACAAGTTATGTTTCATCTGTCACGGCTGCTGTACATGTTTTTGGAACAGAGACAAGTTCAGCCACGTGATGTAGTAGATAGATTGTACGTACTGTAATACTCAAGTGTATATTGATCGTTGGACAATTTCAAGTTTTCAACCAAGTGAGCGGTAGGTGGGCGGCGGCTGCACGCGGCCGCTCTGTTGTTCCTTCCTTCCTCATCCTCTTTTCCCCGCCTTGTCGCCCGTCCACGCCGTGGAGAGACCGCAGACCAGAGCCGTTCGCACCGCCATTGCAGCTTGCCCAGGCAGGTGCTCGTGCGCTCCTGCTCGCCCGCGGCCCCTGCCCCTCCCCCTCCCCAGGTCCGTTCGTTCGTTCCCTTGTTTCTGATAGAAACCTCTGGTCATCCAGGCTGCACGCCACCTGTTCGTTGGAATGCTTCTGCCCGCTGTACGCCGTTTGTCTGACCCAAAACCTTTCACTTTCCTTTGATTGTGCTGCGCAGCAGCGATGGCGACGGCGTTCTCAACCAAGCAGCCCCTGCGGGTCGCTACGCCTGCAAGCAAATGTGAGCCTTTTCTGGCCCTTCGCTGTTCGTCAACTCATTCATTGTGCCTTGTGGGTGCTTTTGGATTACTGCAACTTTAGCACTTGTTGGTTGTAGCTAAGCCTGGGAATAGTTTCACATCCAAACCAAAGCTAGTCCAGCCCATAGCACTATACGCCCAGGATTCAAACCAAACCGATCCAAACCAAATAAGCTAGAACCCAGACCAAACCAAATTGTATGTTTTTTCAACCCAACCACATCCAGATTGTTTCTGATTTTTGGATTGAAACCACAAACTCGAACTATGGACAAAGCCCTTAACGTGAAAAGGGCATAAGCAGTCAACGACCAAGCCCAATCAGGGATAATAATTTCTAAAGTGATATGGGCAATCCAGACCAAGCTAAGAGCATCTACAGCCGCAACCTGCAAATCTGGGCCCTCAAACGCACACGGCCGCGTCCGGCGCGTCCGCGGACACTGACCGCACACTTCTCAAATCCTATCGTCCATATCCGTGCATCTCATATTCGGTCCCTATATCCTTACTAAGCATGCAACGTGGAACTAAACAACGTAGATCATCAAACACACATAGAATCGGACATAGAAATGCACATTCCAATCACCAAAAGATCACCAACGGTTCTCCAAAAGATCGCCAAAGTTCACATAATTCATATAAATGACGGACAAGTTTAAACTGGATTACTAAAAACTTGAAATTAAAGACAGAGACGGTGGAGCTTCACCACTTCCTCACCGAGCCTTTGCCCTTTCGGTCGCCGGTGCATATATAGGCGTCCGCGGCTGGTGGTGGGTCTTGGTTGTCCAAGGAGGAGGTGAAGCTGTCGCGGTCGCCGTCGTTGTCGTCGGAGTCGGAGAGGACGATGAGCCCTGTCATCCGACGGACCGCCGTGTCCTTCTCCCGCTTCAACTTGGCGACCCGAGCCTTCTCTGCCGCTGCATCCTTTGCCTCGCACTCCGACTGCTCAATAGCAAGCCGGAGCGCCTTGGCGTTGTTCCGCCGGAGGCGGCGAGCGTCCGTCTCGCCGTCGTGAGGGACCGACGGTAGACCCATCGGAGGAGCCGCGCGTCCTCGTCGGGCTCTGCCTGCATCCCGCGGCGGCGGTGCACGGACTTCTCCGCATTGTCCCTCTCCCATGCACGCTGCGCGAACCTCCGGTTCCGGAATGCGCGTGCGGGCCGACAGCGCGGGCACTAGCACCCACCGCCGCCCGCGTGGAGTGGCCGGCGGGGGAAGGAGACGGTGCGAGGGCGGTGCGGACTACGTGTCCTAGCTTCGTTGCATATGGGCCAGGAGGGTCCAACTCCGGTGTCCGCGTTGCGTTGGCGTGGGAGCTGCGACGACGCTCCAGATCCGGAGCTGCCGTATGTGTCCACCTTGGACCGCTCCAACGCAATGCGGAGGGCCATCTCCTCCTCGCAGTCGAGCTCGGAGCTGGGGTCGCTGTAGGAGCTGGACATCGGAGTTGATGAGAACGGAATTAGAGAGGGAGAGGAGAGGACGAAGCAAGAGAGAGTGAGTTTGGGGTTCGAAGTGAGGCGCCAGAATTGGGGTTTTTGTGAGACAGTTGTGGGGTCGGTGGTGGGTCGGGCCAGCCAGGCAGACGCACGCGGGCGTTCCAGGGCCGCCCCATATCTGCCCTATATTTGGGCTAGATATGAGGGGCGCCGGTCGGCCCAGGCTTTTGTCCGCAATTTGAGAGGTCCGGTAGGTCGTTTTTTTTTTGACCAGTCAGTGACCGACGACCTGTCAGGGCATTTGTGACGGGTAGCATGTCTACCTACAGAGGCGAGAGGTCGTGGGTGAGAGAGAGGGCCCACCCACCTGCAACAAAAGCTTGGCGTCATCCAGACGCCCCCGCCGTCGACGCAGCCAGGAGGACCAAAGAGTAGGGAGAGTGTAGGAGGAAGGACAGGGTACAGCTGGTGACAACGGCACCTAACCTGGGGCGGATGGAATCGCTGGTCTCGTACAGATGTAGAGTCGAATTGGTCGCTTGATCCAGTTTTTGTCTAT